GCGCCCTAGAGGAGAGGTGCCTAGTCCTCGAGGGAGCTTGTGCGAGCACGGCCCGCCGAATCAGTTGTGGCGTGCTCTGAGGGGAGTTCACATTCGAGACGCCGCCGCAACAAAGACGCGGGTAATGGTGCAATCTCACAGGCCGGTGCGCCTAGACATGAGGCTTGAGCGTTTAGAGCACAGGCAGCTCGACGTGGAAGCTTCGTGCAGCAAAGACCTTTTCGTGGCACTTGCATCGCGACACGGTCACACGCGGACTCTCCAGCGTCTCAGCTCACCATCTCGCCTTCTCTGTCGCCCTCCTGGCCCAGGCCCATCAGTAGCAGGCCCGAGCTGTCCCGAACCGCACTTACCTTGGGTCTGCAAGCTCACACCGGCTCGTGATGCCACGGAGAGGGCTCGAGATTGTCTCCGGTGGACCCCATCCGAGGCGATTGCGAGGGCTTTCCGGAGGCCAACACCGGCGCCACCGACCGTGAAATGTCCCGACCCGCAGCCCTCATGCACCAGGCTCAAGGATTCAGTCATAATATGTAGGCCTTGTCTCCCGAAGTTTTGAGCAATAGCCGCAAATAGTACTTTTCGGCAGTTCATCGCGACACGTCCAGGTGCCGATGAAGCGGCTTCCCAGCTCACCACCTCGCCTTCTCTGTCGCCCTCCTGGCCCAGGCTCATCAGTACCAAGTCTGAGCTGTCCCAAACCGTCCTTATTTTGGGTGATGAAGCCCACTCTGGCTCATACCACGGCTCTTACGGCCTCACTCACGCCCGTTTCACCCACAGACACCGCCGGCACGCACTCCCACTTCACACATGCTCAAACACAACCCCACCAAAGCACAGCCCTGATCAGAATGGGCAAGGGCTACCACTTGGTGGCCCTGGTAGCCTCTGGATCGTCACTGCACTCGGCTCCTCTGCAGCGGTCTCGGCTCTCGCCACGACAGCACGCCGACGGCAAGCTTTGAGATCCGTCTGGTGGACCTGCTGTGGCCACAGCCGCCCCTCACATGCAGCTCGCACCAGACCTCGACACTGGGCCCGCTCAGCTTGGTCGTGGCGGCGTGTGTGAAGGATGCGCGGCCGAGCCGCTGGCGCTGCTACAGCGGCGCGAGAAGCAGGCAGCGGCGCGACACCCGGTCGGTCGAGTCTGGCCGTTCTCTCGACGCCGGCCGGCCAGGGTGGCGGCCTGTGGCCGGCTGGTGGGCGGAGAGCAGCCCCAACCGGCGTGGGGGTGCTCAGGAGGCAGCGGCGGCCAAGTGTGCACACTTGCTCAAAGGCGAAAGGGGGCGTGGAGTGGGCCTTTAAAATCCCTGGCGTGGCGGCGTGCCGTCCTTCCATCCCGCCCGGTGGGTTGTCTGTTTTCTTCCTTTCTTTTAGTGCCAGTGCGCGCCAGTCCCGTGCCCAGTGTTGTGCGAGGGAGTTTTGTTGTAAAATTCTTTTCTGTGTTTGTTCGTATCAAGAATACTCACATCTCACTCACTCACACGACACTAGACTGCGAAGAGAGATAGGAAGAGGTAGACGCCCGAGGGTGGGTGACGGCTAGCACCACACTCCTCTCCTCAAAATCGGATCGCTCCTCACTCATCGCAAACCCCGTCAGCAGTCCTCCTCCGGGAATGTACGTAAGAGCTACACACACTGAAAATCCCTGCGTGTGTGGTTGGTTGGTGGCGGCGTGCCGTCCTACCATCCCTCCCTTAAAGTCGTTGTTTGTTTTCTTTTTTCTCTTCTTTCATAAACCCCGATGATCGCGGCGGGCCAAAAGCTGGGACCTGAACTAAATCCGCTTGAATCTGCCGAGGAAATGACCCGCGCGCCCAGTCCCCAGAGCGCGCCGTCCATAACAATGATGGCGCAGCACGTCGCTCCGAGGTTGACTGGCGCCACGGATCCGATCCAGGAACCTCCCTTTTGCGATGGGCAGACGAGCGGAGTCATGCACGTCAACCAACGATTCTGCGGCGGGTGTCAACTGCTGCGCCACTCTGGCCGCAGCAGCCCACACGACATCTCTGTGTACGACGTCCCAGGGGTGCCCTCCAAGCTTGGCTACATATCTCTGCCAAAGTGCGGCAGCCTCAACATGCGGGACATCCTCCGCCGCCTCGAGGGCCGGTCGTTCAGCAAGAGCATCGCAAGCCTGGGCACGCTCGCTGAACTGCCGGCCAACACAACCTTCTTTTCGTTCGTTCGGAATCCGTGGGCGCGGATGCACAGCGTTTACAACATGCAGAGGGATCAGTGGCTGGCCAATAACAACGGGACGTTGCCCGCCTGGGCACTTGAGTTCGACGACTTTGCCGTTAACCCCGACGGGCACCACCTGCACATGAACCCGAGACACTGGTCCCCGATGTTTGACCAGCTCCTCACAGAGGACGGCCACTTCTCCCCGCACTACCTTGGCCGGATCGAGGCACTCAACGACGACTTCCTATCAATACTGCAGCTGGCCGGAGCGGACTCCGCTACGCTGGCGCGGGTCCGGGACACCCTCGAACACCACCGCCCAGTCCACCATCGAGAGGCGGACTACTCACAAATGTCGACGTACTACGCAAAATTTTATTCCAACAAGACGAGAAAAGCGGTAGGGTCCTACTCGCGCGTGGACGCCAAGCTCTTCTGCTACACCTTTTCGACGTGATGCCGAGTCTTGAGAGACTGCTCTGGCGAATGAGTTTCGGCAGCTAGTCCTAATGGTTGCATGCGCGACCGGGGGCGGAGGTTTGAATTTGTGTTCTGTAGTGTCCGATGGGGATACAATCCGACTGCGGGCCGCTGATGTTGAACAGGATAAACCTTCTCTCGCGTACACGCCGTTTACGCGCGCAACGGAAACGTGGGCCGCGGCGGCCAGTGCAGAGCGCATAGCTCGAGCAGCGCAGGTGCGCAGCTGCCGTCGCGGAGCAGGGGCGGAGCAGGCTCCCCGGCCACGAGCAGCGGCCGTCGCGGAAATCTGCGGTTGCATGCGCGACCGGGGCGGAGGCAGTCGCTCCCACGAGCTTCGCGTCACTTCTGCGAGGGGGTAGGCCTGCCGTAGCCCCAGGGCTGTGTTCGCACAACTGGTTGGGTAGTAGTCTAAGTTCTGAGCCTCGAGGCTTAGCGGGTCTAAGTGTGCCCTGGCACACTGGGGTGCTTACGCGGTCTAAGATCAGCGGGAGCCTCTTACATCGGCTAAGTCGGCCGTGGCAGGGCCTGCGCACGGCCTGGGGCCAAGAGGCTCCCACCGTGATCAACAATACGGCGCTGCCCCCAACTTTTCTTCGCCTGCGGCGGGCGCCTTCTAATCCGGATCGATCCTTCTCATGCTCAGCAATCGCCGCCTCAGCATCCTCCTCTTCCGATTCTCGTTGCTCTTCTTGAGCGCAATCTTCAAGCCAAACAGTTCTCACAAATAGCCTCAAGCTCAAACAAACGCATGTCACAGAAGCCTGTGTATGCTGGTCCTCTTTGAACGTCGATCCGCGCGTGAGGTAGCATAGGGCCTTGTTGGCAGCAGCCAGCTTGTTGCGCTGCTTCGTTGCGATGAGCTGATTGGGATCGCAGAAGTGCATGCCAAGCACCGCCACGATCTTCAAGCAGAACACATCGCAACCGCATCGTCCGCACTGCCATCGGCATGCCGCGCCCGCCGCTTCGCCGCAGCCGCCTTAAGACACGCATAGCGGCAGCACATGGTACGGTGCGCGTACTTGCGCAGGAGTTGCGCGCCGCAAGTAGCGCACTGGCCCTGGGACAAGGCGATATGGCGTCGTGCGCGGCATACGTTGGTCGGGCATGGGCAAAAGTCCAGGTGTACCCGATCGCCCATGCCCGACCATGCCCGACCATGCACCGCCCATGCCCCCGGGTCACCGACCCCGCCTCTCGGCCCTCTCGGCCCTCAGGAGCGTGCGGGAGACCGGCGAGGGGCGCGCCGCGCGCCGCCTGCAGAGCCGCCAGAGGCATTGTCGCCTCCGCTGGCGGGGTTCCCGCGCGCCCGCCCGCGCCCGCCCACGCCCACGCCGCGCCCGCGGGCTCCGGATGCGCCGCCCTCCTTCTCCTTCAAAAGTTCTTCTCGATGGCAGTCCACGCGTGCTTGTGCGCATCCATCGCCACGAGCCTCGCGGCCGCGGTCGTGACACACCTGGTGGCGGCTCTCGGGGCCGTCTCTACGGCGCTCGACACCGTGTGAGGTCGCCGGCGGCCGCACCTCTGCCGCCGTCGCTCCGCCGGCTCTAACCGAGTATCGGGCGTTGAGGGCGGCGGCGCAAAGCGGGTCTGGTGCGCCACGGCCACCACGCTTGCCACCGCCCTTGCCGCCGCCCTTGCCACCCTTTCGCTTTCCCGCCTTGCCTCCGCCGCGGGCGGCGGTGGGAGCGGCCTGCTGGGCTAGCATTGTTGTCCGTGGCTGTGGACGGGCACGTGGAACGTCAATTCATGTTCGAACGGCCTCCGGGATTCAAACAAAAAATACCCGGGGCCCTCTCGCACCCTCCGACCCCCGGGACCCGTGGGCGTCGAAGAGGATCTCTCGGTCGGGGGGCCGTTCTGAGTTCATGCTACCACGAAGCACACTGTGCTGCGTCGAAGCACACCGGGCCCGAGTCCGTGCGTGCGTGCGTGCGTGCGTGCGTGCGTGCGTGCGTGCGTGCGTGCGTGCGTGCGTGCGTGCGTGCGTGCGTGCGTGCGTGCGTGCGTGCGTGCGTGCGTGCGTGCGTGCGTGCGTGCGTGAATCCGCGCACGATTTCTTTTCAAGGCTTGCTGGCGGCGTTGCTTCTGGGCCTCGCGCTTCTCCGTTGCCCTGCCCCTATCCCGCCGCGTAACCAGCACAGCGTCTCCGATGGAAGACATTCGAGTCGACACGTCGATGGGCTCCTTCACCGTCGAGCTCTACCCGCAGCAGGCGCCCAAAGCGTGCCAGAACTTCACTGAGCTCTCGCGGCGCGGCTACTACGACGGCGTGGTCTTCCACCGCATCATCAAGGACTTTATGCTGCAGGGCGGCGACCCAACTGGCACCGGCCGAGGCGGCGAGTCCATCTTTGGCGGCAAGTTTGAGGTGATCGCTCCTCCTCCCCACGCGCGCACCCGAACGGCCGCATGCAATTTCCGCGCCGCCCGTCCGATGGGCGGCGCGGCTAAGAAGCGGCCGAAGAGTGACTGGCCCGCAAACCAGCGCTGTCGGCGCGGCATGGTGGCCGTCCGCGCACTGAAGCCTCCCGACAACCAGCCCTCTCCGTGACGCCCTCTCCCACGCCCCCGCCTCCACCACCCGCCCGGTTTAGGATGAGCTGACGCGCGAGCTCAAGCACACGGGCGCGGGCATCCTCGCCATGGCCAACTCTGGGCGCAACACCAACGGCTCGCAGTTCTACGTGACCCTCGCGCCCTGCCCGCACCTCGACGGCAAGCACACCATCTTTGGGCGCATCTCGGGCGGCATGGCGACCATCCGCCGACTCGGCCTCGCGCGGACCGACTCCAACGACAAGCCGGTGGACGACCTCAAAATCCTGCGCGCGAGGCCCGCCTCAGAGTTCGGCAGCAGCGCTCTCGTCGCGACCAGGTAGCGAGCGGCGGAGAGGCGTCAGCATGTCAATCGCGTCTTCGGTGGAACCGGCGAATTTGTTTTTGAAAAGAAGAAACAACCGCTGCGGTCGCCGTGTGTGCTAGTGAGAGCCTCCCATGAGTGGGCTGCCACCTGGCTACCCGTACGGGGCTGCCGGGCAGCCGCCCGGGTATGGCGGGCCGCCGCCGCCGTTCCCTGGGATGGCGCCGCCTGGTATGCAGCCGCCGCCCGGGTATGGCGGGCCGCCGCCGCCGTTCCCTGGGATGGCGCCGCCTGGTATGCAGCCGCCACCAGGAATGATGCCGCCGCCGGGCATGATGCCGCCGCCGGGCATGATGCCGCCGCCGGGCATGATGCCGCCGCCTGGGATGCATCCGGGCGCGCCGATGGCGCCGCCCCCGAGCGGGGCCGGCGACGCCGACATGGAGGATGCCGACGGCGCACCTAGCGCGGAGATGCTCGAGCGCGCGCGAAAGTGGCAGTCGCTCAACGCGCGGCGCTACGGCGAGCGGCGCAAGCACGGGCACATCGACGCGCCCAAGGAGGACATGCCTCCGGAGCACGTGCGCAAGATCGTCAAGGACCACGGCGACATGACCAACAAGAAGTTTCGGCACGACAAGCGCGTCTACCTCGGGGCGCTCAAGTACGTGCCTCACGCCGTCCTCAAGCTGCTCGAGAACATGCCGATGCCGTGGGAGCAGATCCGCACGGTGCCAATCCTCTACCACATCACGGGCGCCATCACCTTCGTCAACGACATCCCCAAGGTGATCGAGCCCGTCTACATTGCGCAGTGGGGTGCGCGCCGCACTGCAGCGGCCACGAGGGCGGGCGGTCCTCGCACAGCAGCTTGCTTGGGCGGTAGGTACGATGTGGATCATGATGCGGCGCGAGAAGCGGGACCGCCGCCACTTCAAGCGGATGCGCTTCCCCCCGTTCGACGACGAGGCACCGCGCGCCGCTCGAGCGCACCCCCCCCCCCCCCCCCTCCCTTCCTCTTCCGCCCTTATCGCCACCGCGCCCTCCGCCCCGCAGGTCTGCCGGCAGGGCTACAACATGCTCAACCTGCTCATCCACCGCAAGAACGTCAACTACCTGCACCTCGACTACAACTTCAACCTCAAGCCCGTCAAGACTCTCACCACCAAGGAGCGCAAGAAGTCGCGCTTCGGCAACGCCTTCCACCTCTGCCGCGAGATCCTCCGCCTCACCAAGGTGGCGCTCGGCCGCCACTTCCGAGACATTTCCCGTCCCGACCTCCCTCCGCCCTCTGCGTCCCGACACCCGCCGCCCATTGGCCTGCGGGTCCGCCCACATCGCCCCGCCCTGCGGCTGGTGTCCGTGACGCGCCCGCGCCGCTTCGCGCAGCTCGTCGTCGACGCGCACGTGCAGTACCGGCTCGGCAACGTGGACGCGTACCAGCTGGCGGACGGGCTGCAGTACATCTTTGCGCACGTGGGGCAGCTCACCGGGATGTATCGGTACAAGTACCGGCTCATGCGGCAGATCCGGATGTGCAAGGACCTCAAGCACCTCATCTACTACCGCTTCAACACCGGCCCCGTCGGCAAGGGCCCCGGCTGCGGCATCTGGGCGCCCGGCTGGCGCGTGTGGCTCTTCTTCCTGCGCGGCGTGGTGCCGCTGCTCGAGCGGTGGCTCGGCAACCTGCTCGCACGCCAGTTCGAGGGCCGCTCGTCCAAGGGGATCGCCAAGACGGTCACCAAGCAGCGCGTCGAGTCGCACTACGACCTCGAGCTGCGCGCCGCCGTGATGCACGACATCCTGGTGCGCGGGACCTCCGAGACGCCTCCGAGACGCCTCCGAGACGCCTCCGAGACGCCTCCGAGACGCCTCCGAGACGCCTCCGAGACACCTCCGAGACACCTCCGAGACACCTCCGAGACACCTCCGAGACACCTCCGAGACACCTCCGAGACACCTCCGAGACTCATAACGTCTCCCTCAGTCCTCGCGAGCTTCAACGCACGGGGGCCGTGGTCATGGCGTCGGTCAGCCCCTCTGTCCTCTCGCCGCCGCAGCGCGCCCGGTCCTCAGTCTGCAGTCCGCTCACCCGCCGACGGCACCGCCCGCAGGACATGATGCCCGAGGGCGTCAAGACCAACAAGTCGCGCACGATCCTGCAGCACCTCTCGGAGGCGTGGCGCTGCTGGAAGGCCAACATCCCGTGGAAGGTGCCCGGCATGCCGGCGCCGATCGAGAACATGATCTTGCGGTACGTCAAGTCCAAGGCGGACTGGTGGACCAACGTCGCGCACTACAACCGCGAGCGCATCCGGCGTGGCGCCACCGTCGACAAGACGGTCACCAAGAAGAACCTCGGGCGGCTGACGCGCCTCTGGCTCAAGGCGGAGCAGGAGCGCCAGCACAACTACCTCAAGGACGGGCCCTACGTCTCTGCCGAGGAGGCTGTGGCGATCTACACCACCATGGTGCACTGGCTCGAGTCGCGCAAGTTCTCGCCGATCCCCTTCCCGCCGCTCTCGTACAAGCACGACACCAAGCTGCTCATCCTCGCGCTCGAGCGGCTCAAGGAGTCGTACTCGGCCGCCTCGCGCCTCAACCAGACGCAGCGCGAGGAGCTCGGCCTCATCGAGCAGGCCTATGACAACCCGCACGAGGCGCGTGCCGTCCCCCCCCAATCCCCCCGCTACCCTGCCCCGGCCGCCCCCGCCGCCGCCACCTCGTGCACGCCCCCCGCACGCACAACTCCTCCTCCTCACAGCCAGCGCCGCTCAAGCCTCGCGCCTGTTTCCCCTGCTGCAGGCGCTCTCGCGCATCAAGCGCCACCTGCTGACGCAGCGCGCCTTCAAGGAGGTGACGATGGAGTTCATGGACCTCTACTCGCATCTCGTCCCCGTCTACGAGATCGAGCCGCTCGAGAAGATCACCGACGCCTACCTCGACCAGTACCTGTGGTATGAGAGCGACAAGCGACACCTGCTGCCCAACTGGGTCAAGCCGGCCGACACGGAGCCGGCGCCCCTCCTCGTCTACAAGTGGTGCCTCGGCGTCAACAACCTGGCGGACGTGTGGGACACGTCCAACGGCGAGTGCGTCGTCTGCGTCGAGACGCAGTACACCAAGATGTACGAGAAGGTCGACCTGACCTTGCTCAACCGCCTCCTGCGGCTGGTGCCCCCCGCCCACCCCCTGCCCCTCCCCCCAACCCCCTCTCCCTCCCCCGCCCGAAACCACACGCCCGGGGACTCCGCAGGTGCTCGACCACAACATCGCCGACTACATGACCGCCAAGAACAACGTCAACCTCACCTTCAAGGACATGAACCACACCAACTCGTACGGCATCCTGCGCGGCCTGCAGTTTGCCTCCTTCATCATGCAGTTCTACGGGCTGATGCTTGACCTGCTCGTGCTCGGGCTCACGCGCGCCTCGGAGCTCGCGGGCCCGCCAGCCGTGCCAAACGACTTTTTGCAGTTCCGCGACACCGCCACCGAGACGCGCCACCCGATCCGGCTCTACTGCCGGTACATCGACCGGCTGCACATCCTGCTGCGCCTCACGGCTGACGAGTGCAAGGACCTGATCCAGCGGTACCTGACCGAGCATCCGGACCCCAACAACGAGAACATGGTTGGCTACAACAACCGCAAGTGCTGGCCACGCGACTCGCGCATGCGGCTGATGAAGCACGACGTGAACCTCGGCCGCGCCGTCTTTTGGGACATGAAGAACCGGCTGCCGCGCTCGGTGACGACGATCGACTGGGAGGAGTCCTTCGTCTCGGTCTACTCGAAGGACAACCCGAACCTGCTGTTCAACATGAGCGGTTTCGAGGTGCGCATCCTGCCCAAGATGCGCATGCTCAACGACGAGTTCGTCTCCAAGGACGGCGTCTGGTCGCTGCAGAATGAGACCACCAAGGAGCGGACGGCGCAGGCCTTCCTGCGGGTCGACAACCAGTCGATGCGCTACTTTGAGAACCGCGTGCGGCAGGTGCTCATGTCGTCCGGCTCCACCACCTTCACCAAGATCGTCAACAAGTGGAACACGGCCCTCATCGGGCTGATGACGTACTTCCGCGAGGCAGCGCACATCCCGACGCGCGGGCTCGGCCGGCACGCGCCCCGTGACGCGCCCGCGGCCCCGTCCGACAGGCGACGGTGCACACGCAGGAGCTGCTCGACCTGCTCGTCAAGTGCGAGAACAAGATCCAGACGCGCATCAAGATCGGGCGCGACTCCAAGATGCCCTCCGGGCCCTCGGTAGGGCCCGCTCACCTTTTTCGGCACCTTGCGGTAGGCTCAACTCGAAGATGCCCTCGCGCTTCCCGCCCGTCGTCTTCTACACGCCGAAGGAGATTGGCGGCCTCGGCATGCTCTCGATGGGCCACGTGCTCATCCCGCAGTCGGACTTGCGGTTCTCGAAGCAGACGGACGCCGGCATCACGCACTTCCGCTCGGGCATGTCGCACGAGGAGGACCAGCTGATCCCGAACCTCTTCCGGTACATCCAGCCGTGGGAGTCCGAGTTCGTCGACTCGCAGCGCGTTTGGGCCGAGTACGCGCTCAAGCGGCAGGAGGCCAACGCGCAGAACCGGCGGCTGACGCTCGAGGCCCGCGCGGGCTCGCCGAGGAGGCTGACGCGTCCGTGACGCGTCTCCGTGTCACACGTCCACGCCGTGCCCGCAGGACCTCGAGGACTCGTGGGACCGCGGCATCCCGCGCATCAACACGCTCTTCCAGAAGGACCGGCACACGCTCGCGTACGACAAGGGCTGGCGCGTCCGCACCCAGTTCAAGGAGTTCCAGATCATGCGGCAGAACCCGTTTTGGTGGACGCACCAGCGGCACGACGGCAAGCTGTGGAACCTAAACAACTACCGGACGGACATGATCCAGTCGCTCGGCGGCGTCGAGGGGATCCTCGAGCACACGCTCTTCAAGGGCACCTACTTCCCCACCTGGGAGGGCCTCTTCTGGGAGAAGGCCTCCGGCTTCGAGGAGTCGATGAAGTACAAGAAGCTGACCAACGCGCAGCGGTCCGGCCTCAACCAGGCGCGCGCCCGCCACAGCCGCCTTGACCCCGGCCCCGCGCGCACCCCCGGGCGCGGAGAGGATGAGTCACACACTGCAGCGAAGGGATGGCCTCGCCACACGACCACACGCACAACCTTATTCAAGTACTTGATCCGCCGCCGCCGCCGCCGCCGCGCTTCTGCGCGATGGGCGTGGGCTCTGACTGCAACCCCTACCCCCCGCGCGGCTCGCAGATCCCGAACCGCCGCTTCACGCTGTGGTGGTCGCCGACGATCAACCGCGCCAACGTCTACGTCGGCTTCCAGGCGCGCTGCTTGCCGCACCTCGCTGTGCCCGCTGAGGCGCGTCCATGACGCGTCCATGACTCGCCCCACAGGTCCAGCTCGACCTCACCGGCATCTTCATGCACGGCAAGATCCCGACGCTCAAGATCTCGCTCATCCAGATCTTCCGCGCGCACTTGTGGCAGAAGATCCACGAGTCGGTGGTGATGGACCTCTGCCAGGCGCTCGCCACACGCCTCACGCGGCTCTCCCCCCCCCCCCCCCCTCTCCTCCTCCTCCTCCTCCTCCGTCGCCCCCGCTTCGCCTCACGCCGCGCACCCCACCACGGCCGCCCTCGCTTGGCTTGCAGGTCTTCGACCAGGAGCTCGACGCGCTTGAGATTGAGACGGTGCAGAAGGAAACCATCCACCCGCGCAAGTCGTACAAGATGAACTCGTCGTGCGCCGACGTGCTCCTCTTCGCCGCGTACAAGTGGCAGGTCTCCAAGCCCGCGCTGCTCGCCGAGCCCAAGGACGTGTACGACGGCTCGACGGCCACAAAGTACTGGCTGGACGTGCAGCTGCGGTGGGGCGACTACGACTCCCACGACGTCGAGCGGTACACGCGCGCAAAGTTCCTCGACTACACCACCGACAACATGTCCATCTACCCCGCGCCGACTGGCATCATGATCGGCCTCGACCTCGCCTACAACCTGGTGCGGACCCTTTCGCGACCCTTCCGATGCGCAATATTGACGCTCGCAGCCTCACCCCGCGCACTCGACCCCGCACCCCGCGGCTCCCGCTCACGTCCCTTTGCTACTGACCCCCCCCCCCCCCCGCGCGCGATTACAGCACTCGGCGTACGGCAACTTCATCCCCGGGATGAAGCCGCTGGTGACGCAGGCGCTCGCCAAGATCATGAAGTCCAACCCGGCGCTCTACGTGCTGCGCGAGCGCATCCGCAAGGGGCTGCAGCTCTACTCGTCCGAGCCGACTGAGCCGTACCTCTCCTCGCAAAACTACGGCGAGCTCTTCTCCAACCAGATCATCTGGTACGCCGACGACAGTGCACCGCCACACACCCTCGGAGCCACCTCCAACGCGTTCACGACCCTGCGGTAGGTTCGTCGACGACACCAACGTGTACCGCGTCACCATCCACAAGACGTTCGAGGGCAACCTGACCACCAAGCCGATCAACGGCGCCATCTTCATCTTCAACCCGCGCACCGGCCAGCTCTTCCTCAAGATCATCCACACTTCCGTCTGGGCCGGCCAGAAGCGGCTCGGCCAGCTCGCAAAGTGGAAGACGGCGGAGGAGGTCGCCGCGCTGATCCGCTCGCTGCCGGTGGAGGAGCAGCCCAAGCAGATCATCGTGACGCGCAAGGGCATGCTCGACCCGCTCGAGGTGCACCTGCTCGACTTCCCAAACATCATGATCAAGGGCTCGGAGCTGCAGCTCCCCTTCCAGTCCTGCCTCAAGGTCGAGAAGTTCGGCGACCTGATCCTCAAGGCGACGGAGCCGCAGATGGTGCTCTTCAACATCTACGACGACTGGCTCAAGACGATCTCGTCGTACACGGCCTTCTCGCGCCTCCTCCTCATCCTGCGCTCCTTCCACGTCAACCCCGAAAAGTGCAAGATGATTCTCCGGCCCGACAAGGACACGCTGACGCAGGCGCACCACGTGTGGCCGTCGCTCACTGACGAGGAGTGGATCTCGGTCGAGGTGCAGCTCAAGGACCTGATTCTCTCCGACTACGGCAAGAAGAACAACGTCAACGTCGCCTCGCTCACCCAGTCCGAGGTGCGCGACATCATCCTCGGCATGGAGATCGCGCCGCCGTCGATGCAGCGGCAGGAGATTGCCGAGATCGAGAAGAACGCCAAGGAGGCGTCGCAACTCAACGCGGTGACGACGCGCACGACCAACGTGCACGGCGAGGAGCTCATCGTCACCACCACCTCCGCCTACGAGCAGCAGACCTACGCCTCCAAGACGGACTGGCGCGTGCGCGCCATCTCGGCCTCCAACCTGCACCTGCGCACCTCGCACATCTACGTGTCGTCCGACGAGTGCTCCGAGACGGGCTACACCTACATCCTGCCCAAGAACGTGCTCAAAAAGTTCATCCAGATTGCCGACCTCCGCACCCAGGTCTCGGGCTACTTGTACGGCGTCTCGCCGCCCGACAACCCGCAGGTCAAGGAGCTGCGCGGCATCGTGATGGTCCCGCAGTGGGGCTCGCACCAGACGGTGCACCTGCCGTCGGCGCTGCCCGACCACGAGTACCTCAAGGGGATGGAGCCGCTCGGTTGGCTCCACACGCAGCCCAACGAGCTGCCGCAGCTCTCGCCCAACGACGTGACGACGCACGCGCGCATCATGTCGGAGAACAAGTCGTGGGACGGCGAGCGCACCGTCGTCATCACTTGCTCCTTCACGCCGGGCTCCGTCTCGCTGTGCGCGTACAAGCTGACCCCCGCGGGCTACGAGTGGGGGCGCCAGAACCGCGACGTGGGCGCCAACCCGCACGGCTACCTGCCGACCCACTACGAGAAGGTGCAGATGCTCCTCTCGGACCACTTTCTCGGCTTCTTCATGGTGCCGGACAACGACGTGTGGAACTACAACTTTATGGGTGTGCGCCACTCGTCGAGCATGAAGTACGACCTCAAGCTCGCCAACCCGCGCGACTTTTACCACCAGATCCACCGGCCGTCCCACTTTCTCAACTTCTCCTCCGTCGACGAGGGCGGCGCCGAGGGCGTGGACCGCGACGACCACTTTGCATGAGGCGCGAGCAGCGCCGCCTTTTCGACTACGTCTACGTGATTCCTAGCTGGGCGACGGGCGGCACTCGGGCGCCGCGCGCCGCGCTCAGCCGTGCAGAGCAGCGCTGCCGTGCAGGCAGCGGTTGTGGCTGAGGGCGCGCAGACTCGAGTGTAGACTACCTGTCTCGTCGTCAGAGAGCGGGGGTCGCGCGCGGCCCTCGGACTCGCAGTGTGATTGTTTGGGGCCGGGTGTTCTTGTTTGTTTGGTAACAGCACATTGCATCCCTCCCTGCACATGGCTTGTGAAGCTACACGGCCGACGTCTTGCGCTGGCGCTGCAGGGTGTGGCGCTTGGAGCGCGCCCCCCGGGCCCCGGGCCCCTCGACGCTATCGACGCTCTCCTGACGCTCTCGCGGAAGGCGGATTGCGTATTTGCGAGTCGTCGTTTTAGTGGTGTTAGAGAGTCGTCGTCGTAGCCGTACGTTTTGTTTTTAGCACTCTTGTACACTTGTGTGTGTGTGTGGAGTGTGTGGTCTGCCGTGTGGTAACATAACAAGACACGTACGTAATAACGTAATTGTGCGGGGCGGAGCGCTGTGGGCAGTCGCGTAGCGTGATGGGCCGCGCCGGCGGCCCGCCCTCCCCGCGGCTGGTTCCCCCCCATTGTGCCATGGGGGCCATGCATGCGCTCCGGTCTGCGGGCGATCAAAGCTCACCAGAGACCGACGCGCGGCTCCGTGGCGTCGCCTTGACCGGCAACGAGCCGCCGCGAGGGGTAGCCGCCTCCTCCTCCATCCGAGGCCCCTCCGATTTGGGGAGGTGGAGTTTGAAGAACGGTGACGAACTCACCGCATCCACGTCGTCGCTGGACGAAGCCGGCGGGGGAAGTCCGGCTCGAGCGGTGCTCACCTTCTTCGTGACCGATTCGACGGTCGCAGCATGTTCGTCGACCGTGCAGTCCTAGGGAACAGTGGCGACGCGGTGATGGAGTCGGATGGGGAGGGGCTATGGGCGCGCGGGTATCGTGTAGCTCTTCACCTCGAGATCCCTCGCCTCTGCAGCCGCCTTCATTAGCCGAAGCGTCTCGATCTCCTTGCGCAGCTCCTCGACGACGCTACGGGCCTCGGCGCTGATCTTCTCGTCGTCTCGAAGCAGCAGCTTCTCCTCCTCCTGCAGCTTTTGAATGGTGTTGTACTCTGACCAGCGCTTTCCACGCTCGTCGACGTAGCAAACGTCCGACGGGTTGAGGTCGCGGTTGGGGTCATGGTCGTGCCCACCGTCGGCTGCATCGTCGAAGGTCTTGTATCGCGAACCGGGCGGGGCGCAAGTGCAGTGGAGTATCTCACGACAGACCCTTCCCAGCACGACAGCCAGCCAGGCGAGCCAGCTGCATGCGTCGCGGCTGGCGTTGGCAGCCGCTTTGAAGATGCACAGCAGGAGATCGAGGGCCTTGATCAGCCGCCCGAGCAGCGCTGCCGGGGAAAGGAGACGGAGCACTGTCGCCCCGCACACCGCTGGGAGACGGAGCAGGTTGAAGGGCGGCGGCGGCCACGCGTCGTCAAAGTATCCCACAGCGAGCTGCGCCTTGACGAAGCTGTTTTCGTTCTCGGCGTCGTCCCACACGACGTCAAATGTCTTGGCCATGATGGCGATGAGCATGTTAAGCAGCAGCACCACCGACAGCACCACGTAGACGCTCATAATGAAGGGCGCGGCGAAGCGGAAGTCGTACGCCGTGCCAGCCTCGAGCGTCTCGGCAACCGCGCCCGCACACTCGATGCTTGAGCCCGGGTCGAGCGAGATCAGCAGCAGTCGGTACAGCGCGACGGGCAGCGACTGCGATAGGTCCTCCAGGGGCCCGCACTCCTCGCCTCCGTCCAGCGGGGTGCTGCGGAAGAGCGTGTACAGCGCAGCGGCAAAGGCAGCGGCGCACCCAGCCATAAGGACTAGAAACTGAAGCGTGTCCATCATCATCTTCCGCAGCATCACGACCTGGGGTCCCATGCCGCAGATGCTAAAGACGCGCAGGAACCACGATGTCCACATGAGGAGCAGCCCGAACGCAAGGGTCTGGTGGCCCCACGGGAGGGGAGGCATCAGCTTGGCGCTGATTGCAAGGCTGACCGAGACCATCTCCACCTGCTTGATGAAGTCGCTGCTGGAGAAGCCCTGCTCGAGGAGATGTGCACACAGCCAGCCGAGCAGCAGCACCGAGGTCAGTACTGACCATAAACCCCCCGTGACCCGTTCGAGGGCGGGCACGACGCCCGACGCCCCCTGCGACACGAGAGCCGACACCCCTCCCCAGATGTCGTCGACGGCGATGGCGAGGGTCGGCGTCGGCACGAGGGTCAGCCAGAGCGCGAGCAGCGCCCAGCTGATTGACGACAGCACGGAAGACTGGGACGTCCAGCAGGTAGAGCGAGTCGGTGTAGAGCTGCGCAGACGGGTTCCACTTTCTTTTGAAGTCCTCGCTGTGCGGCGTGCGGTGTGTGGATGCCAGTCTGAACCCGAGGTCAAGGCTCCGCAGCAGGACGGAGCGCAGCGACGGCACGAGCGCCACGAACGGCAGCACCAGAAAGTTGAGCCCCACGGCCAGCACAAGCAGCAGCGCGCGCGACAGCGGACGGCGAACCTTTTGCTCGACGCCGTCAGGTGTGACGACGTAGCCAGACACGACAGAGTGCGACAGCTCACCCATCCAGCGGCGCTCGATCGCGCTCTGCACGGTGGCATCGGCCAGCAAGATCTTGCACTGCACACCGACGGCGCGGGCGAGGAAGTGCCGAGGCCGCTCCACCATCCCGGCCTGTCCACTCGCGTGCGGCACTGTCCTGGCGCGGCTTCCCTCGCTCTCGAGCAGGTGCACCCTCTGCAGGATCGACAGGTGCTTGAAGAGCACGGTCCCAAGGTTCTGTGCTCGCTCCGCCGCCGCCATGAGGTCGCCCGCCTCCGCCGGGTAGGTCCGCTTCCGCAGACCCGCTTCCGACCTCGCACGCCGTGCAATCTCGGCGACATAGCAGAGCGCCTCGCCGGCCGACACGCGAAACAAGGCCGGCAGCAGCGCAATGGCCGAGTCGAGCTTCCCAAGCAGCTGCTCCACCGAGAGCTCGTCGTCGCAGAGGGCGAGGTCGATGGCCGTCGCGCCGTCGGCGGCTTGAATTGTCGGCGAGGCGCCCCGCCGGAGCAGCACGCGCACGACCGCACTGTGCCCATGCGTCGCCGCGACCTGCAGCGGCGTGAGCACGCTGCCGGAGGCAGGCACGTCCACCCGGTGCAGCATCGCCGGGGAGTCGCGGCCGCGGGGAGCGTCGTGGCCGCGTGACAGCAGCCGGCGGGTGAGCTGGAACTCGACCAGCTCCTCGGGCAGCAGCCGCTCGTCGCGGACGAGCGAGTCGACGAGGGCAGCGTCTCCCATGGCGACGGCGTCGTGCAGCACGAGCCAGTTGCGATCGGCGGCATCCTGTGCCGCACAGCGCTGCCCGTCCACGCCCTTGCCGCTGTGGTCGGGCTTGCGCGCCACCTCGACAGGCGCCTCGACGCCGACGCCCCTCAGGTACGCCGTTTGTTCCTCATCGAGGACGGATGCGGCCTTGGCGAGGGGCATGGCCTCGTCGTCCGCCACCTTGAGGTAAAAGTAGACGGCCTCGCCCTGCCCGCTGGGCGAGGAGGAGTAAGCGAACGCGCCAAACTTGATTGGGTGCTCGCCGGCCTCCTCCCCTGGGTTGAGCCAGAGGAAGGACTCTGCGCCGATCCCGAGGAGGAAGGAGAGCGTGACGTCCCGCCATTGCCCCCGGACCCGGTGGACCTCGCGAGCGGGCGTGATCATGCGGTACGGACCCGTGAACTCGACCGTGTGATTCTTCGAGTAGAGGTCGTTCGTCGGAAGGCTGACGTAGGTCACCCGCAGCACTTCGGCGCGGCTGCCGTCGCAGTTGGCGTACACAAAGCCGCCCGACACCAGTAGTCCCTCGAACGGGTCGCACTCACGGTCGGGCTGTCCATCCACCGCCTCGAAGTCGCGAGCATCGAGGACGCCGTACACAAATGCTTGGTGCGTCGCATGCTGCGGGATGTTGAAGCGTGCGCGCAGCTCCCATCCGACCGTGATGGGCGCAAAGCGCGCGCATCGGCATCGCACCCACTGCTGGCTCTTCCCACCGTTGGAGGATAACAGCGCGCGAACCCCGTCGCGCAGCTGGAGCGAGCTCAGCCGGAGATCGATAGCGGAGACGCTGAAGATCTTGGCCTGCGCGCTCCGAGGAAAGGCGATCATGAGAATTTGGGTCGTTCGCCGCTACTGCGCGTCCGTAGCTCCCCTTCTGGCTAGCCGTTGCTACGCGTCCGCCGCTACTATTCGCACCGTGTTCACGACGGTGCGGGACATCTCGCTCCCCGAGATGTGGTCTGAGCTCGTGGCAATGAGCCGCAAAGTCTCGGGGTCGCTCCAGAGCGCCGGCACGGGCCGGAAGACAAACTGCAAGGACAAGCCGCGCATCTGCCGCTCGATTTGCGGCACCTTGAGCATCTCGTCGGCGACGTGGTGCACCCAGGCGCGGTGCGGCTGGTAGATTGGCACCTGGGGCGATATGTCCACCCACTTCACGCCCGGGCTTTGGATCTCGCCCTGCCCGAGGTCGGCCAGGTGGTAATGTCGCACAGTTGTCTCGATCCACGCGTCGTCCGTGTTGCGGGCGTCATCGACGTAGCCACGAAAGACTGGCCTCGCAGTGCCCCCTTCGGCAAGATCGACGACGTCGACGCCCTGCTCGCGAAGCCCACGCACCATCGCCGTTTTGTCGGACTCCCAGCCTCCGCCGCCCGGCGAAGCCCTCAGCGTCGCGCCCGGTATGGCCCACTCCTCGCAGTCGAGCCGCAGCACCGCGAGCAGCTGGAGCCGACGCTGGCCTGACCCCGGCTGGAATCGGGTGATGATGGGATCGACCACGTAGTTCGCCCCTGCGACTGCGGACGCGTCCCAGCCACCCGTCAGCCCGGTGCGGCCGCCTGGATTGAGGCCGGACCCGGCGCGAGGATCTGCTGCGAGCTCAAAGCCGGAGCTGGCTGGGGCGTAGCCAGGAAAGGGCACGTGCCATGGGACGTGCTCATCGTCGACGTGCGACCGTCTCACGTGCGCCATCGACATCCGGCTGGAACGGCGAATCAGCGCCCGCATGACGCCAGCTCCCTGCTGCTTGCGGGCGGCGTCGAGCTTAAGCGAGAAATGCTCGGTCGAGTAATAGCGCTCGCTGTCACGAGCCAGCCTGTGAGGTGCCGACGATTGCTGCTTCGGCAAGGGATGAATGAAGCTGCTAGCGCGGCACATGCTGGCACGGCGCGGCCGAGGCTCCTCAGACCTCCTGACGCAGTCCAGCTCCGTGTCCGTCCTCGAGATCTCGTCGATACCGTCGTCATCCGAGTACTCGTTGTCGAGCGTGGCTGTGCGTCTGGCCGTAAGCCAGCTCCTCCGCGGCGGTGGGAACGCCGGCCTCATCTGTGAGCAGAGCCGAGCCGAGCAGAACAAATGCGCTTTGGAGAGACTCAGTTTGTGAGCACAGTTGTCGCGCTTTGCGCGGCTCACGATTGCAGCGTGTTATTTTTTTTTGGCTCGAACAATTTTTAGAGAGAAAACAGACAAACACTCCGCGCCAGTGACTCCTCCGTGGCGGCCACAACCCACATGGTCAGAGGAGAGAGAGACGGAGAGGGAGAGAGAGAGAGCACACAATCATGCAGAATTGCACCAATGACCTGGGATACGCCAGACTCGCGCAGCCGGGAGGTTGGCCCAGCCTGACGTGCGCGATCACGCGGCAGCAAGCGCGGCTTCGGGGCGAGGCGTCGTGGGCGGTGGGAGCCGGCGCCCCCCCGCCGGGAGCGGGTACGGATACTCATGCGCAAAGAGCGTCGCGCCGTCGGGGTCGAGCACGGCCTGCCGCAACTGTGAGCCAATGTAGTGCGAGATGGCCCAGTGGAAGCGGTTGATGTCCATGCCGCACGCGGGCGAGGCGTCGAAACCGTGCCGCTCGAAGAAGCCGGTGGCCGAGTCGTCGGCATACCTACGGGTCGTGTCCCGGGCGTGTCCCGGCCTCGCCACTCGGCGAGAGCCCGGTGGCCGGGCCTTTGGGCGCGCGTCAGCAAGTGCAGCACGCCAAGCGAGAGTGCGTGCTCCTTGAGGTGCCCCATCAGGCGCGAGCCGAAGCCGCCTGTGCGGCGGGCGAGCCCAGAGGGCGCGGGGGTAACAGCCGCATGGTGGCGGGAGCCCTCTTCCCTCCACCCCCGCGAGTCCGAACCACGCCACAAATCGGCGCCGGCTCTCGCGCGGCTCCCCCCTTCTCCCTCCCTCCCATCTCGGCTGCATCTCACCGCGCTGCTCCTCCTTGCGGACGACACAAAAGGCAACCTCGAGGAAGCCTCGCGCCGCGTGCGGCTTGAGGACGATGCCGCCGATGACGCGCCGCACCTTTTCGGTCGAGCGCGTCATGACGAGCGCGTGGTGGTCCGGCGCGAAGAGCACCTGTCACGAGGACGTTGGCCGGTGGCGCTCACCAAGATGGTGGGCTGTGGGTGGGGTGGGGTGCGGGGCTGCCCCTCCTCAGGAGAGGCTGGAGGGCAGGAGCCCCTCCTGGCCCACGCGCGCCATGAGGAGTGGGGGGAGATAGGGGTGGGAGCTGTGCCCGGGGCAGAGGACGCCTTTGCGGCGTTCGCGCGGCCAATGAGCGGCAGCGACGAGTCGATGAGCTCGAGCAAGTCGTGCAGCAAGTCGATGTCCTGTGGGCGCGCCGTGGGTGTGTCTTAGGAGGGGAGGGCGGCGGCGGCGGCGGGAGGCCGGGGGAGGGAACGGGTCCGCCTGCAAGCCGCGCCCGTCGTTGCGAACCGTCACGATGGCCTCGTCGCCGCCAGCCGCGTCGGCCGCGTTGCGCGCGTCCTCGAGCACCTCCGGGTCCACCTGTGTGCAGAGCTTCAAGTCTGAGCGGGCGCTGCTCCCAGTGCAGCGCAGCCGAGCTCGGCTGCGGGTCCGCCTCGTTGCCACGCGCGACGCACTCTGGGCACAGCCACGCACCCTCCGGCACCGCCTCCACCTCGGGCTCGCAGCAGCGCTGGTGGTAGCAGTTGGTGCAACGCAAGCCGTCGCAGAGCAGGATCTCGTTGCCTTGCAGCGACTCGCCGCCCGCGCAAATCAGGCAGTGCGGGTCGTTCTGCGGGTTGCTCTCCGCGGCGACGGTTGTGACGCCGTGCGCCTCAGCGAGGGAGTGGAGCGAACACTCCGGCTCCGACTCGAGCGTGATGGTTGCGAAAGGCCGCTTCGAGGTGTTGCCCGCGGCGGCGGCGAAGTCGAGCGGCTTGAGGACGAGCCGCGACGCGTCGTCGAGGATCCGCCCGTCGTTCTGGTAGTAGCCGCGCGCGACGTCGTCCGCCCGCACTCCAGTGCCTCGGCAGACGACTCGACGCCCCACCGCCGCTGTCACGACTCGCAAGCTCTGGACGGGCTTGTCGGCGATGCGGCCGCGCACGGGCGTCTCGCGCCCCTCCTCGTCGAGGACGCGCCGCATCGCCGCCTCGCCCGCGGCACGGGCCTCGCGCGCCTGAGAGTTGCGGGATCCGGGCGACAAGATCGGATCCACAGAGGCCCCCCCGGGCTCACAGGCGGTGCGAGAGGCTCAGGGCGGGAGCGTCGAGAGGAAGTGAGAGGAAGCGAGAGGGGGCAAGAGCGCGGGAGAGGGGAACGGGGGAGAGGGGAACGGGGTGGACGAGAAGGGGGGGAGAGGGGGATGTGCTACGAAATCTCAGCCCGGCTATATGCGTGAGGTGTGCACATATGCGCACCAGCCCGTCGGTGTATTCGCGCTGCATGTGCCACGGCGCCCCGCCCACGTCCGCCGCGCTCCAGCCGGGCGGCGGCGGGGCGCGGTTCGGTAGCGCCGCCTCGAGCAGCCGCTGCCGCTCGCCCGCCTGGAGGGCCGCCAACTATTCCAAAGCAGCACGTGTGAGCAAGTGCCCCTCCGCCGCCCGCCGACCAACAGGGCCGGCACCTCGGCCTCGCACATGTCGGCGGGCGGCGCGACCGCCTGCTGCCGGAAGCGGCGCGGCACGGCCGCCGCCGAGTCTCCCGCTGCAACCTGACGCGGGAGGCGGCCGCCCGAGGGAAGCTTGACGAGGGACACTGCGGGGGCGAGGTGCGCCATCCAGCCCGGCTCGCGACGCTCGACGTACGCGCCTGTCAATGCACGCACTGCAAGTGACGGATGCATCGGTCGGGCTGCTCGCGCCGCTCGACCATGCGCGCCCCACGCCGCCTCAAACTCCGCCTCGAGGGGGGGCAGCAAGCGGAGGACGGCCGAGCGCGGCGCGCAGTAGGCGCGGCAGTTCGCCCACACGCGACGCACGTCGCGCGCGAGCGCGTCGGCGGCGTGCCGCGCCTCGCCGTCGAAGCCAAAGCCGTACGCCCCCATGGCGAGGCCCTCTGCGATGGTGCGCAAGTCGAGCGGCTGGCCGACGCGCTCGACATAGTCGGGGAAGGCGGCCGTGTCGACGGGTGCGGAGAAGGGGGGGGCGTGCGGGTGCGCAGCCAAGCGCGCCAGGCTCGCGGCGGCGCGGCAGAGGAGGCAGTCAGCGAGCGCCGAGAGCAGCTCCTGTGAGGGCAGGGCGGGTCTTAGGCGGCGAGCAAGTGCGGTCGGGTGAGAGTGTGCGACCGTGCGTCGCGGTGTGTGTGGCAGGCGCCAGGCAGAGTGTTGAAGAGAGCGTGCTGGTGTTGGATGGGCGGGCGGGGGGCGGGCGGGCGGGGGGGGGGGGGCGGGGGGGGAGTGGCTTCTAGTCTCTTAGCGGCAGGGCGGCCGCCTGCGCCCTCTCGTGCTGGCCGGGCGCACGCTTGTGGCCTGCTTCCCACGCCCCCGGCGGTGCAGCGGCGGCGGGCGCGGCGGCGGGCGCGGCGGCGGGCGCGGCGGCGGGCGCGGCGGCGGGCGCGTCGAGGGGCACCGCCGCCCCGGTGCCGCCGCCGGAAAGCGCTGTGGCGGCCTTGCCTGCGGACGCCACTTCGGACGCCTTGCGCGAAGCCAGCTTTGCAGCGACAGCGCCCTCCTCCGCCGCCCCCTCCTCTCCCTCGCCAGTCGCGACGCCATTCTCGTCGCACCCCGGCTGCGCCTCTCTGGCCGTCCCTCCGCCGCCGGCCGAAGCTGCCTCCATGTCGGACCGCGCCCGCTTGCCGCTCGCAGGGCCGCTCCAAGGGAGGGTGCCGCTCCGAGGCTGGTCCGCTCCGACGTCGCGCTCGCCCGCCGCCGCAGCACCGCCACCGCTAGCCAGCAGCGCCGCTCCCTCCTCCGCAGACACCGCCTCCGCCGCCGCCACCGCCGCAGACTCAACGCCGGGCGAAGCGGCCGCCGCGGCGTCGAGCGTCGCATCGGCCGGGGCGCTGCGAGCGGCCTCTGCCCCTTCTGACCCTGGTCCGACTTCAGCGGCACCGGCTTGCTCCGCCACTCTCACCCCGGCCGTCGCCCCCTCGCCCTCGGAGTCTGCAGCAGGAGGGCTCGGCGGCACCGATGGCGGCGCGTCGCCCTCCTCCTCCGCGGCGGCATCGTCGCCACTATCGAACTCGCCGTCGTCGCTGCCCTCGTCCCCCGTCGCGTCTTCCCGGTCGTCAACATCCTCTTCGCCCTCCTCCTCCTCCATCTCCATGCCGTCCACCTCCTCCGCCTCCTCCTCGCTCTCCCCCTCCTCGCTCTCCTCCTCGCCGCTCTCGCCCTCCTCGCCCTCGCTACCCGCCTCCTCGCCCTCCTCGCCCACCGAGCGTACCCACGACGCCATCCCGCGCACCTGTGCAGTCCGGGAGGGCTAGGGTCGGGAGAGCTAAGCGCCGACTGCACCCGCGGCCCAGCCCGAGGGGGGGCGGGGGGCGGGGGGCGGGGGGGGTTCAGAGAAGAGTGGCGGAGAGAGAATGACAGAGGAGAGAGGTGGAGAGGAGAGGCGGAGAGGAGGGGCGGAGAAGAGGGCCCAAGCGCGCCATTCCATCGGCGCTCGCGCCCGCGGCGCCCACCGCAGCGCGTCGGCCAGTGCTACTCGCTGAGGAGGCGATCCAGCCGTCGGCGCTCGCCTCGGCGCGAACGGCCTGCTCCTCCGCCTTCTCACGCGGCCGCACCCATGCCGGGTCGGGCGCGGACGCAGCGAGCGATGCGGGCATCAGGCTGCGGCTCAGCTTGCCTGCTCGCCACAACATGGCATGCCGGCTGCAGCAAAAGTACGCATCCGGCTCGGGGCAGCCGTAGTAGAGCGGACAGAGCGGCTTCCCCGCGGGCAGCGCCGACCGCCACCCCCACTCTGCGGCGGCCCGCGACGCTCGCAGCAGCGGCTCGAGTGCGCTGGTCCGCTCGGCACGCCACTCGCCATCGGCCGCTGCCGCGCCCTGCTCACCTCGCTCACGCCGCCGGATTCGCCGCCGCCGCCGCTGCTTCGCACCGCCATCAGAGCCATCAGGAGACTCGTCCACCGGACGCTTCTTCTTTGCACGCACCGGCCGGGTGGGCAGCCGCTCGTTGAACTCCGCCTCAGTTCGCTCGGCGTAGGTGACCTGCTTCTTCCGCTCGCGCTTGGGCCGCGCCGCGGCGTCCGGTGAAGAAGAGGCGGCGGGCATGCGAATGGCAGGTCAGTGCGCCTGTCTCCTATTGCCGCGCCGCTTCCACAGCTGTCATGTGGGGAGTCATGTGGGAAGAGAAGCGGGGGAGGAGGTCCCCAAGAGCCGAGCCCCCGCGAGTTCGCAGCGGAGTCGGCTGGGGCTATACCAGACAGGGTCAGCCCCAGCGTCAGGCCTCGGAAAGAAGAAATACCCTCTCTCTCTCTCTCTCTCTCTCTCTCTCTCTCTCTCTCTCTGTCTCTCTGTCTCTCTGTCTCTCTCTCTCTCTCTCTCTCTCTCTCTCTCTCTCTCTCTCTCTCTCTCTCTCTCTCTCTCTCTCTCTCTCTCTCTCTCTCTGCCACTCTGCCCACTCAAGCACTCAACAACGTCGCTGAACGCCAGAATCCGCACACGAAACAAACCAAGAAAACACAGGATAAGGAGAGGAGTGTGGTGCTAGCCGTCGCCCACCCTTGGGTGGGCGTCTGCCTCTTCCTATCTCTCTTCCCAGTGCCTCGCCGATTCTCGCTCGCTGCAACCTTTCATGCCACCTGGCGGTCGTCCCACGCGCGTAGTTCTCTCTCCTGTCGCTTCATCCTCTGTCTCGTCGCTCTCTCTCCTCGGCCTCGTCTGCGACGACACTGAATCCGGGCCTGGGGAGGACGGCGGCAAATTCGAGCACGACATCTGAATCGATCGAATCCGGGCCTGGGGAGGACGGCGGCAAATTCGAGCACGACATCTGAATCGATCTCGCACGGGGGAGGCGGAATGACCGGGCACCGGGATTAGGTCCCCCCTCGTCGCGAGACTTGGCTGAGCCAGCTCGTGGAACATCATAGTATGGAGCGAGATCCGAGGGGCGCCTGCCCGCTCTTCCTGATCACCGACCCGGATCAATCAGACCCGCTTGCGCGCCCCGCGACGGTCCAACTTTCCGACCTGACCAGCTGCGGTTCGCCAGGGCTGGACTCTTCTCCTGGATCGCTGCGGCGCGGCCATTACCATCGACCCGAACCGAAGGGGGCCGCGGCCTCCCTCCTCCACGCTCTGAGCGGGGAGGCTGATGGTCCATCCACCGCGCCCTCGGGCGCATGCATTCTGCCCTCGTGCAAGGTCGATCTCGCCGTGTCCCCGCGTGCACCCTGCCGCCGGACAATGTCAGCTCCGATGCTGCGGCAGTCGTTGCACCTCACCTCACTGCGCTCAGGGCCGGCGGAGGCACCATCGAGCTCAGGCGTATCCAGGCGCGCACAGTCTCAGCCCAAGCGCTCGTGTGTCAGACGAGCCCCGCCCCGGCATCCACACCCACACCACCCGCGCCGCGCTGCCTCGCAGGAAAAGGTCGCAGGAGGACGTCTCAGGAGGCGCGGAGTGCGCAGACAAGGGCGACGGAAGGAGGCTGGAACAGGTGCCTCCATCCCCCTTCCCAAGCGCCCGTTTTACCGTCACACCCAGCGGCTCTACCACGCGGCAGGCAATAAGTGCTCTCGAGGGCAAGCTGATGCGCATGCTGAGCAAACAGCGCGCGCAGGAGGCGCAGGCGGCGAGACTGCCGCCCAGCGCTGCGATTGACACCACCCACGAGGCCTTCCTCGCGTCTGCACGCGCATTCGCTGGCCGGCTGGTACCGCTCCTGTCGGAGCCGCTCTTGCTGCGCGCGCTGCGAGACAAGAAAGGTGATGGCGCAGAGCCGAGAGCAGGAGAGGCGAAAGAGAAATGTGCCCGGGATACGCCGCGTAGAAATGCTACTATCCCGCTGAGAAGTGCCGCCGCTGGCGCCGCTGTGCGACTGCACTGTGGCGCGGTCCTTGCCGCGCGGCCCGGCACCTCCGACCACGGCCAAGCGCCGGCCGCAGGTGCGCACGGCGGCGCCTCGGACGCGCCCAAGCAAGTCCTCCAGCTACTCGAGATGATCTCGCAGCGGGACGGCTTCAGGCAAGGGGTGCTGGAAGCCAACGCCATGGCTGCACTGGTGCGCATCCTGCGGCTGTGCCGGGAACGGCTCGAGCGGCTCCGGCCGCCGCCTGAGCGGAGGATTGAGCGCGGCAGCGGCAGCAGCAGCGGCACCTCTGATGTCTGCCGCGAGGCTCGCGGGCGGCTGCAGCTGTGCCTGCGAATGGCGGTGCAGAGTATGGCCTTCCTGACGCAGATCAGCCCAGAGAGCTGCTCCTGGCCCCCCTGCGAGGGGCAGAGCTGCGAGCTCGTCGCGATCCTGCGCGACGTATGGCTCGATTCAGCCGTGCGCCGGCTCGCGGCTTGCTCGCTCAAGCACCTGGCGGCGCTGAACGACACGGTGCGCCTAGCGATGGCGCCGCACATTCAAGACCTCGTCGAGGCGTGCCTTGAGGCGCACAGGGCCGAGGGCGTGAGGGAGCAGGCGGCGCTCGCACTCGGGAACCTCGCGATTTGTGACCAGCTCGAGGCGCGCGCACCAGCCTCCCCCCCCCCCTTCCCCTGTCCGCGGTGTGGCAGAGTATCGGCTACCGCGTCCCCACACCAGGATGCCGTCCTGGACTCCTCGGCGCTGTGCGCCCTCACGTCCATGCTTGCCGAGGGGGGGCCGACAGCCGACGCTGCGCTCGCGGCGGTCGCAAATTTGGTGTCCAACCGCCGGGCGAGAGCCCGCTTCGTCGAGCTGGGGGGCATCGCGCTGCTGCAGGCGCCGCTGCGGTCGGAGCACGAGGGCATTTACAAAAACGCGGGCTGGGTCATTGCCTCCCTCGCGGTTGACACCGACATTTCGGGGGACTTCACCCTGGACGGCGGCATCCCGCTGCTGCTGCAATACGCGCGCTCGGCCGACCTGGGGCACCAAGAGGAGGCGGCGTGGGGCCTCGCAAACCTCTCATCGCAGAGTGAGCTCACTGCCACGCTGATGCGCGCCAACGTGGTCCCATTGCTGGTGACCTTTGCGCGCTCCGAGTCGGACGGCGTGCGGATGCAAGCGCTCTGGACCCTCGCCAACCTCGCCGTACACCCCGAATTCCGACAGGAGATCGCACGGGAGCGCACGATACCGGCGCTGCTGGACAGCTTCAGAGATCCTGCGCCCGGCACGCATCACTCGCTCACGCAGGCCGCTCGTGCGCTCTCCAATCTTGTGGTCACCTCAGAAAACCGGGCGGAGACGATGGCGCACGGCGGCGGCGAGGCGATCCTCCGGTGTGCCCTCTCCGAATCCAACGAAGTGCAGCAGGCGGTGGCTCGGGTGATAGTCAACCTGTCGTACGAGGTCGGTGTCGCGATGCAGCTGGTCAGCGCGGGCGCGCTGCCTGTCGTCGCTAGCCTCCTCGGCTCAGACTGCGACAGCGTCCAGCAGGAGGCCACGTGGATGGCCGTGAACTTCTCTCTCTGCATCGACGGCCAGGCGCCACCCCCCCGGGGCAGCCCCGCGTTTGGCGCCGAGATGGTCCTTCCGCTGCTCCACCTGCTGCGCTCGGCCCGGCGCGAGGTTCTCGAGCAGGCCGCTTGGGCCCTCTTCAACCTGGCGCGCTCGAGGCCCAACAAGATGGCAATGCTCAGCCATGGCGCGCTGAGCCTGCTGGCCGGTCTGCCGTCGCAAGTCGACATGCGGGCTGGGGGTAGCTCAAGTGGGGTGCGGGCGGCTTCGGGGACCTTGCTCACGTCGCTCGCCGAGGCACTGACCCCCACGTCGAGGAGAGCGATCGTCGGCCCCGGCAGCGAGCGGTCGCAGCCCCCGAGCGGGCTGCACCGGGGGGAGGCGCCTCAAAAGGTGGCGATGCTCTCGGCACCGGCCGGGCCGGGCCTGCTTGAGCCCCAATTCGCGAGGTTTGCCGTCAGCGGCGCAGAGGAAGCCTCGTAGTCGAGGGAGATGATGACGATGGCGCCGCGTTGCGGCCTGCCGTCGCGCGAGTACTGAGCGCACCGCCTGCGCCCGCCGTGCGGGTGCTGCTGGACAGCACCGCTAGGCTGGAGCGCGGGGTGCTGCTCCCGCGCGGTAATGAGGTAGGGCCGGTGCGCCATGAATGCTCCCAGTCCGGTCGTGTTTGCTAAGGCGGTACCCGACACTGTACCCGCCTCGTACCTCGGTTCGCTGGGCCATGTGTTGTAGCCTGTTGCCGGGGCAGTTGTGCCCGCCGCGCGTGCTTTCCAGCGGCGCGCTCCGCGCGTGCTCTGCGGCAGTACTACTGCATCTTCCGGCAGGTATCAGCAATGTGAGTTCACATAGCGGGTGGGGAGGCCCTAAAACGGCGGGAGGGGTAGGGCTATATCGATAGAGCTAGAGGGCTCAACCACCCCTCCACCCCTCCACCCTCCACCCCTCCACCCTCCCGGAGCGAGAGAGGTCCGTCTTCGAGCCCGCTCCCACTTCCACCCCTCCGACCGGAGGGCTCGCCAGCCCACAGGGCTGGAGGGGTCCCCGTCGGATCGGCGTCGGGAGGGCTCCACAGGGCTAACCCCCTCCCCGGACGCCGGGTGGGCTCGGAGGGACGGTCGGACAGGGGAGGATCTTCATGGCGGGAGGGCTCGAGAGGGGTCGGAAGGGCCCTCCGGGAGGGGTCGCAAAAAGATAAAGAAAACGAAGTCGCGGCTTATGTGACTGCCCCCCAAGAGGGCTCGGAGGGCTCGGAGGGCTCGGGAGGGCTGGAGGGCTAGAGGGCTCCATTAGGGCTCGGAGGGGTCGATCCTCTGAGCTACGCCTAGCCCGGGCGTGATATGTGTAGC